ACATACAACGCTTTTCTGTGTTGGTGAGTGCTAACGCATAAGAGCTATAAGATCAACTACTAACGATTTTTCTACCTTCCTCTTAGCACACTCGTCGCGTCTTCCATGATGAAACGAATAACGTGCGACGTCTAGAGACTGGCTACTTCATTTTGCCGCAGGATCGTCGCACTTATTCCGTGAAAAGTAAATAGCCGCATCTTAATTTCTAAATAATTTCCATTTTTTTCACACAATTCTTCATTTTTTCTTTCTAGATCACTTGCTCAACATGTCATTGGCTCAAAACCTCAACAAAGATTGCGAAACGGAGATGTTGTGTGGTCTGCCGCTTTACAATCATCGTTGGCATAAAGCGCGGTAGGTGTCAGGCAGCAACTCTTAAACTAATAACTATAATCAATTCTCGTTTCTCTCGCCAGTGCCTCAAGTTTATGGATACCCGGTCCAGATCCCAAGTTCGATAGAGTGCCTGAAGTGAAATTACTTTCCAAAAATCAATTAAGTAAAACTTCAATTCGTTATGAACTGGAGTTAAGTGGACCTGACCATATGGGCTTATACATCAATCCTCTGAAGGACCGTAAAATGAGCTCTTGGTCGTTCCATTATAGTCCATTGCGTTTGGGTTGGAAGCCGCCATATTTCATTTATTTCTCATATGGCAAAGATAGTAGCCCGCTGAAATTCACACTCGAATTAGAGGTGAGTTTACCCCTTTAAAAACTTTCAAATTCAATCAAGATTGGGCAGTCTTCTGTAGAAAAATATTCTGCTCGTAGAATGGCTTCATGGACCCAAATAATCATGTGACAAAATAACATTATTTTTAAACAATAGTAAGTTCATGATTCGCGATATGAAAACGAAAAATCATATCGTCACATCAGATCGCATGACATGATGATGTGATAAAAAATCATATGATTTGCAAACTTTTTACCAGTCAGCGATTATATGAAAATAAAAAATCATATCGTCACTTCACATGACCGCAGAATACGGAAAGAATAACAGCGCAATTCTGGCTAAGGCAGTTGAAAGTTTTTTGTGAGACAACTTAAAGATAGTAGGCAAGATTGTTTGAAAGATTTTGTTTATCCTGGCCCGAAAGTCTAACAAGAAAGCTCCCTTTCCAATTTTCATCGTGAAAAGCTCTTTTAACAGAAAACACTTGTGTATCATTTTGCTCGTGCCATTCGAACAGACGCAATGGCAGAGTGCGGAAAGCATTGGCATTACATTCAAGGGATCTGGGGTTCGAAGCTTCCGGCAGCGGATTTTTTAAATCGATATTTGTTTTTAGTTTTTAATTATTTAACTTTAATTTAAGTTTTAGAAACTCATTTTATTTTGCTTCTTTTTTTAATTTAATTTTCAGACTTTATTGTTTTAAAAAGAATTTCTTTTAAGTTCGTTGAATTTTTTGAAACTATTTAACATTTTTCTTCTTTTTGAATTTTTTATTTTTATACCCGAGCGCACTTGTGCACAAGGGTATTATAACTTTGTTCACATAACGGTTGTTTGTAACAGGCAAAACGAATCGAGATAGATATAGACAAATGTATACATAAATGATCAGAATGAAAAGAGAAATCGATTAAGCGGTGACTGTCTGTCCGTCCGTCCGTCCGTCCGTCTGTGCACACGATAACTCGAGTAAAAATTGAGATATCTTAACGAAACTTGGTACATGGACTTCTTTTGGGCATAGGACGGATGGTATTGAAAATGGGCGAAATCGGACAATAACCACGCCTACCTCCCATATAACGGTAATTTTCAGAAATACGAAAAGTGCGATATTGTAGTAACTACTAAAGATAATTCACTCAAAATTGATATTTACAATGAGTTTTAGACAAAAAATAAGAATATTAAAAAATTTTGGCAAATGGGCGTAGCCACGCCTACTTATGGTTACATGTTTATATCTTGGTAACCGCTGCACCAATTTCTTCCAAACTTGGCACAGTTGTTGGTCCTGCTACAGCATACCAAATGGCCGAAAATTTTTAAAATCGGACAATAACCACGCCCACATCCCATATAACGGTAATTTAGAAAAATACGAAATCCTCGATAAATCAGTAAATATTAAAGCTAATTTATTCAAAATAGATGGTTGCAACAATTTTTTACCAAGAAATACGCTTATGATACAATTTTGGAAAATGGGCGTAGCACCGCCCACTTATGATCACATATATGTATCTCGCTAACCGTTCTAGCAATTTGAACCAAACTCGGTATGGTTATTGTGCTTGCCACATAAAAGCAAAGCGTTGAAAATTATTGAAATCGGACTAAAATTACGACCGCTTTTCATATAACGGTATATTTCAGAAATGCTTGAAACTGCAATATTTCGAAATTTAAGGACGCTAATTTACTTAAAATTTATACACCCCGGCTTATCGTGTAGCGGTAGCTTTCGGAAAGGTGGAAAACATATATTTAGTAATTGCGCCGGGTATTTAATGTTCGGCTCCGCCCGAACTTAGACTTTCTTACTTGTTTTAGATAAATTTCTTTTAATTTTTATATTTCATTGTTTTAAAACGAAAAATGTACTTCCTTTTTTCACATAGTAATTTTTAGGAACGTGTTTTATTTTTTTCGTTTTTATCTTTTTCTTTTAATTTTTAGATTTTTTTTTTTTTTAGTTTCATTTAATTTTTAGTTTTTATTAGAAACTTCATTTTCTTTAATTTTAAGATTATATTTGTTTTTAAAAGAAAAATATTTTTTTATAATCATTTGAGTTTGGTAACAAATTTTTTTATTTCTTTTTTTGTGTTATTTTTTTCTTTTTAATAAAATTTTTTTTCTAATTTTTAGTTACTATTTTAAAAAAATTTTAAATATTTAACTTTTAAAAACATACTTATATTTTTTATGTAAGTTTTTACTTTTTTAACATAATTTATTTTAGTTTTTAGATTTTTTGTTTAAGAAAAAAAATTTTTTTTTAAGAATATTATTTTATTTTGTTCAATTCTTAGTAACTTTTTTCGTTTTTTAATCTAACTTTCTTTAATTTTTAGATTATAATATTTTAAAAATCTTTTGATTTCAATTAACTCAAAATTGTTATATTTTCCTTTTTTTAATTTACTTTTATGTTTTAGATTATATTTTTTAAAAGAGAAAAATTTTTTTGTTTTCTTTTTAATTGTAGATTATGTTAATTTAAAAAGAAAAAAATTTATAATTACATTTAACATCAAGGAACTTATTTTATTTTTTAATTATTACTGTTTTGTAATTTATTTTCCTTTTAATTTAAAGTCTCCATTACTTTAAGAGAATCATATTTTTTAATATCATTTACTTTTTAAAAACTTGTCTTAATTTTTTTTTCATTAATTTTAATGGATTATTTTTTTTTATTTTATTTTTTTAAGTTTAGCTTTTGTTGTTTTAAAAATAAATATATATCGCTAGCTTAGAGTGAAAAGTTGCTAAGTCCACTTTTTATATTTTTGACATGGGAAGCTAGGGGTATTAAAAATACATTTGCTAAGTCCAAAAGAGGCACCGAAAGGTCGACAAAACCAAAATAATGCGAAATCGTTTAATAAAGTTGGAATCCTTCTTATTCGTGTGGAGTCTTGCTATGCTTTAAATATGCAAAATGTTGTATTCAAAGATTTGCGAAATACTTGAGGAAAATGGCTATAAGAAGTTTTTTCCTCTTATATAAATTAAAAATAAATGGAATTTTCAACTTTGCACTCTAAGCTAGCGATATATGTATATATTTCTTCATTTCACATAGTTTTTAGAACACTTATTGCTAAAAGTCAATCAGAATAACGCTAAGGGCTGGTTACTCAATGTCTGGTAAAACTAACTTCAGGCTAAACATCCTTATCGCTCCATAACATATGTATGTACATATGTATATGTGAAAGCCGATAACGTCGAAAACACTGTTTAACCTGTAAAAAGTGTTAACCAGACATTGAGTAACCGGCTATAAAGCGTCCTTCTTAGCAGATCTTACAATTAGTCTTTCGAAAGACCGTGTAGTGCTTTCAAGGTAGTTGCCAGAATTGACACTTTTTTACGAAAGACTGTGGTGTGCTGAAAGACTTAGCATGTAAATCATTTCGACACATTAATCATGTAGCAAGTGATCTCTAGAATAAATTAGATCGCATAATGAAGTTATACTCGCCTTTTGTTACGTAACCATGGGATCAAATTCCATGTGTGAACATTTTGCATTTTATTATGTAATCGGCATAAAGTCATAAAGTCATAGAATCTATTGAAGTTAAATTAATATACATATATGTATATAAATATGCATAAAATGAAAAAAAAAAATTGTACCAAATTTATTACATCACGAAAAATTTTTCCACCCACAGAATCCTTCAGAGGACTGGAGCTCGCCAATATTTGAAATTGGCATTGCTGGACATTGGAATCATGATGAGAGTGCACATACAGCGGAATTTAAAAAGTTCCTGCAAAGCTTCCCCAAATATGTAGATGCGATAGCTTGGCCGGCATATTATGAGACACGACTGTTTTAAGTCCAGTTATAGTTATTTATACAACTGTATATGAATGTATGCGTGTATTTAATTGCGTATTTTAACTACTTAAACGTATAATTTTGCCAATGAGCATTTTTTTTATTTATTTTGTATGCAACTGTAGGTTATTAAAATCAATAAATATATAAGAAAACTTAATAAAACGAGTCAAATTTTTTATTTGTGTATTCGGTTCGAATTATCGACGTTTCATAGTGATGACTTGAAATAATTTTTCTTTGGACCGTTTGGTTGTGTGCTATTGATTTCTTTTACTAGGCGAGCATTTATGAAATTTTCAAAAGACTTAATTTCATTTACATATACCATACATATATGTGGGTATGTCTGAACACTTCTCTGTTATAGATAAGTAGTATTTTGCCTCATCTCATAATAGCAGGTTAGATGTATGTGAATAGTGAAATCATAAATTTTTACGTACCTTAATATTTTAGTACGAATAATGATAAAAATAGCCCTTATTCCAACACCCTTTTTTTGTGCGTTTCCTGCGAGAAGCTCCCACAATTACCATCGCTTTTACAACTTCCACACTATCGACACAGCTTATCAACACTGGCTGATTATTTAGCACTTAACTTACCACTTCGTTAGCTACGATCTTTTCGTATCAGCTTATCTATAATTTCTCATGAAAAAATATTAATAAAGCATTAATCTATAAAGGCAGACCAGTAGACCAGTAGCTGTTGGGACAGATGTACAGTGCATTGACAAGTCGTGGAACAAGCACAATATTTTCGGTCTTTTGCGGCTAATCCAATTGATTTATGTTTGTTTATGTGTTTTTTTTTTTTATTTTAAATATATAAAATTTAACAAATAGGGGTACTAATTCGCTGGACTTGATTTCGGGGTAAGTATGTACCACAATATTGAATGGTATATCTTAATCGGCCCTATCTAACATTTTTGGTTATTTATGGAGCGATGAAAAAACTCCTTAGAAAATCAAACCCTTTGGTACGAATTTCTTTTAAAGGCTGTGTTTGTTGTAAAATGTAACTATTTTTAAAATCCGATTGGTTTTTAGCAAGCAATCGGCAGACTTTTATAGAGTTGAACGGCAGTATAAATATCGATTTGCATCAAATTTATTGATTTTATCGGTAAGTTCAGATAGACCATTTACTACACTTTAATTGATTTGATAAGGTTAATTAAGTATTAATTATATTTTGATAACAGCAAACCAGATATGTATTTTGTACATTTGAACTAGAGTACATACTAGTAACAGCTACGTAAGTGCTATTTTAAGCGATATCTCGCAGGCTGTAAAGAAACAGTAAGAAAAAAAACAGAATTAAAGTTAAGGAACCTCCATTTTTTTCATATCCACCCAGTGTTTGTTAGTACTTTTAGGTTTATCAATTCTATTGGACCTACATAAGAAGGTTTGCCTTGAAATGACAATTTAACCCTACAGAGTTTCAGTTGCTATTGGAAATAAATTAATTTTCTTTACAAATTTTGGAAATTGTCGATAAATCAATGAATTACTCCTACATTCAAATCCGGTTGGAAAATGTTGTGAACATAGATGATAGCAAATTTAATAAATATCACTAATGTAAAACAAATTTCGATACTGGCCAACTGCATCCAAAAAAATTGCAAGTAAGTGAGGTCACTTTTTTTAGGACCTCAAACGAAGGAAATTCGGCCATATCTCAAAAACCTGTTCTATATTTTTGTATTTTGACTTCATACTCGGATTAAGCCAAGGTGTGTTGAATACTTTTTGGATTTAGCGGTGAATTTTACATAAGAATGGTAAAATGTCAAATGTCGGATTTCTTGTCGACTACAATTCGAATACTTAACACTTTGATTATTCAGAATCTTGGTTAATTGAATGCCTGATGTACACTCGGTTGTCTTCCACAGCCATGGCCATCAAAAAGCTGAATCTCCACCACGACAGTGTTGAGCATAAGGAAAAGAAATTAGATTGGTATTGGGCTCCCATCTACTGCGCTATCTGGTTCTTGCTTTTCTATGCTGTCGCCATACCCAGCTTCTACAACTATCCAAAAACATTGCTCATGCGCAATGAACACCAACATCCCGACGAATTTATCGGCGAACGAGCCGAATTACAACTACTCACATTGAGCCGATTCGGCGTAAAACTTTCTGGTACCATTGAAAATGAAGTATTGGCAGTGAATTTTTTACTCGGCGAAATTGATAAAATCAAAGCACAAGCACGTCTTGATCTCTACGATATCGCAGTTGAGTTGCAATACGCATCGGGTCAATTCCAGCTGTGGGGCATGGCCACCAGTTATCACAACGTCTCCAATGTGGTGGTGAAATTGGCGCCACGAAATGTAACAACCGCCTCGTATCTATTAGTGAATGCCCACTTCGATTCAGAGGCACACTCGCCGGCAGCTGGAGATGATGGTGTAATGATTGTGATTATGTTGGAGACTCTACGAGTGATTTCAAAGGCAGAGCAGCCGCTCATGCACCCCATAGTATTTCTCTTCAATGGCGCTGAAGAAAGTAATCTACTGGCATCGCATGCATTCATAACACGGCACAAATGGGCGCAGTATTGCAAGTGAGTAAAAGAAAAACGTTAATGAAAACAAAAAAAACATATCAGGCAAGCTACATATATCGTATTTGTCTTTACAGAGCGCTTATCAATCTAGACTCAGCCGGTTCGGGTGGCCGCGAAATACTCTTCCAATCGGGACCCAATCACCCATGGCTCATGAAATACTACAAACAAAGCGTGCCACGCCCATTTGCTACCACCATCGCTGAGGAGTTATTTCAAAACAATTTCGTACCCTCCGACACAGATTTCCGAATTTTCCGTGAGTATGGCCGGGTGCCTGGCCTAGATATGGCACACGCGCTGAATGGCTATGTCTATCACACCAAGTACGACAGCTATGCCAATCTCGAACGACGCACTTGTCAGACAACCGGTGAGAATGTGTTGGCGCTGACATGGGCGCTGGCCAATGCGCCAGAATTGGAGAATCCTGAAGTAAGTTGTGGCATTACTTAATAGAAATGTATCTTTTAATTAACTTCCACCTCAACAGAATTATGCGGAGGGTCACACTGTATTCTACGATTATCTCGGCTGGTTCGTGATCTTCTACACTGAACAAACTGGTGTCATAATTAATATTACCACCTCTGTTTGTGCTGTCTTCATTATTTGCATATCCGTTTATCTGATGTCACGCGATGACGGAGCGGATACAATAAAACAGGTCTTCATTCGTTTCTCAACCATTGTTGGTGTGCAAATTGTGACTACACTGGTGGCAGGGGGTCTCACCTTTCTCATTGCGGTGGCAATTGACGGTATAGGTGCATCTGAGTGTTGGTACTCAGAAACGTGGCTGATTTTCGGCCTCTACTTTTGTCCCATGTTCTTCGCCATGACTTTGCTGCCGGCGGTGTACATGCATTGCACCAAGGAGAGGGTGAGTGTGGTTCATATATTCACATTTCTATTATCTATTACCAAATTCTTACTTCTAGTCCAACATGCGTCCTGATGACACTTTAGCCTGCTTCATGCATTCGCACTGCCTTATTTTGGTTCTTATTTGTCTGACTATGACTGGACTCGGCATACGGTCCGCTTTCTTTCCTATGATTGCCATTTTCTTCTACACAATGTCGGTCATATTGAGTGTTGGAAATCGGCTTTGGGGAAAGAGTAAGTGTGTCTTTTACTTAAAAAAAAATGTTTGGAAAAAATTTGGTTTTCTTTATTTTCGTAGAATACTTATACCTGCCCATACATCTTCTATGCCAACTGGCGCCGTACTGGTTCTATACTTATCTCACATTTACTTTCCTGACAATATTCATACCTATGCAGGGACGTAATGGACCGACCAGCAGGCCTGAGTTTCTTATTGCCGGTTTATGTGTTATAATGGCTATACATTTTTCCGGATTCATCGTAAGTAATGGTACCTTCATTTTTTTTTTTTTTTTTTAAATATTGCCCTTCCATTTTTGGTAGAAACGAAAGCTCTATGATTGTAAATCGTGTAGAATATCTTTATATATTTACATATCGTTTCGCTCGTCCTCAATTTTAAGGAATTTTATGCTATTACAATAAATTCATCAACAAGAAGGATTTTAAGTATTGTTGATGCCACGCTGCAAGCGATCCTGCGTTGTCATACTTCCCTTGTCCAGGAAGGCATATACAAATATTTTTGTGATGCAAAAACTTTTTTTTTGAGCAGAGTTTTTTCCACAATCTTATCTTCTCTGCGGATGAGCGGTCGAGGTATTTCACTTCAAGCCCTCCCACCAAAGATTCAGACCACTTTACGAGATTCCTCTAAAGTGAGGTTAGAACTTTTTCGATTGCCTTTTTTCTGGGCCGAAAATCCACTTTTTTAGAATAATAGCAAAGATATGGTTTATTATGCTCTAAAAACAATCTGTGTGAAAGAAGACAATTTTTGGTCAATATCTTGGGCTTGCACACATCCAGCAAAGCAGAAATGCTAAAAAAATTGTTCCCTTTTCTCTTCGAAAAAGGTCCATATACCAAATTATGTTGGACGAATACTTTCGAAACTACTTATAATATAATTTATTTTTTTTTTACCTAATGTATTTATTAATTTTTAATTTTACAGTTGGATTTGTAAACATTGGTGCAGCTTTCTGCTGACTGGGCCGAGCGTTGTCATCCTCGAGCTATAGTACATCGGTATACATGATTGAGAAAGAAAATTTAGTTAGCATTTTCTGCGTGAGCTGGAGAACGGGATGATCAAGTAATGATTTAAAAAACCACCAAGTGCTCTTGAAGGTCCCCTATTGCTCTCTAAGTTGCGAAGTCGCCACAAAGCCCTCTAGCAAAGCTTGTTTTCGATTAGTATGCCTATGGGTGGTATACCTGCCATGATGGCCGAGCTTCCGTTTGAAAAGTGGGCATGGCTCCTGTGCTGGCTACACTGACCAATTAGTGTAATTTTCTCTGGATGTTGTCAAAACCACCTTGCCTGACTTTTGAGGGATATCCCATGTTCTATCATAAATTCTTTAACAAGCATAAAAGTTTTGTTGGTAACCGCCACGAGATTGTGATACTTCTACTAGATACTTCATCTCTTGCCATAACTAAATCTCCGTCCCTTCCCATTGGGTCAAATTAAATTTCCTTCTTTCCGTGATGGCGACAATGGTCTACTTTGGTGGGTTTATTGACAGGTCCTTCTTACAGTCGCTCTATAATTTTGATTTAGCCGAACGGCCTGGCTAGAGTGCTCTTATAAAATTAAATTAATTAATTAAATTAATACCATTAAAACTGTATGAGTTTTAGAATGAGAGTGTGTTTTCTTTCAATATTTTTCCCCCGTTTGCCATTCGCATTGAGGCGGAAAGGATTTAACGTATTCGGCTTGATTTCGAGCTACTTTCTTTCATCTAATAGAAAATTGTTTAACAGGAGAGCATTCCAGCTACCTACTGATAAAGACCTTGTTTTCATAAGCTTCTTATTTCATAGCTGCCTGTGTTACACAAATTTCGCAAATCAAAAACTTTCATCAGCCTATTTGGAGTTACTTGCTTAGTCTTCATTATGATCGCTTGTCTACCCGTTGGCTTCCCCTATAAGAAGGATGTAGCTGCTCAAAGAGTTTATGTGTTGGTAAGTAATGAGAACCGTTAACAGCCCTTTTACAAGCATTCATTAAGTTTAACTTGTGTGTAATCAAATCTTGCAATCCATTTTTTACCAACTTTCCGATGAGCCAGAGACTTGAAATTTCAAAACCTAGCTTAGAACCCGATGATAATACAATACGAAAGATGAATTAATCCCTACAAGGAAGGAAATAACTCCCAAAAAAGTTGCCCGATAGGTGGCGCAGGGGTTCGAAATGTTTGGAAAATCCATATTTATGGTCCGATTTGTTTCATATTTAGAACGGGCATCACTTAAATGGAAATAAATAGCTCTTGCTGGTGCGGGGGACGGTTTAATAATTTGTTTTATAAAGCACTGATAAAATCTTGGAATAAAAAACGTTTAATTCTTTCAATTACTTGTTACAAATATACCAACTTGTAGCTCAAATACAAATTCCATATTTTATTTCCCCAAGCACACCACTCGCACCTTCTACAATGAGTATGGCTTTGTCTACAGAAACGAATCCGGTTACTATGTACAACCAGTCGATAGACGCATTAATACATTGGAGAATATAATTTTTCAAAATGCTGAACCGAAATCTGCGATTGAGGCAGATTGCGCTGCGGAAATATTTTGCGGACTGCCACTCTACAATTCGCGTTGGCTGAATTGGAAGTAAGTGAAGGCAGTTAAACTATCAAATTTAAACTAGTTATGAGCGCCACATAATTTTCATTGCATAGAAACTCCTCGCGCTGGATATTGGCGTCAAGCCCCAGCTTGCCTATACCAACTCAACTCAAACTAACCTCAAAAGTGTATATAACCAATAGAAGAGTGCGTTATGGATTTAGCTTAAAATCGGCAGATCGTGTCGTTATTTATATAGACCCTTATCCGGATGCGAAAGTGGTTGATTGGACCTTTGACAAGACGCCATTGAAGAACAATTACTCGACGCCCTATTTTATATATCACATGTACTCCATGACTGAAAGCCCATTGCAATTTTGGATTGAGGTGGATGTAAGTAGCCGACAATTTAGATAATTTAAGGCAATATATTTAGCTCTTTCTTCACTTTTAGCGCCACGCCGCAGCCAATGAGAGTGCTGCACTACGTCTTGGTATAGGCGCCCACTTCCAATATCACGAATCGTACTACACAGATGAATTCAAAGCATTCTTGAAACGATTTCCCGAATGGTCATATCCAATACACTGGTCGGCTTCATTTGAAAGCCGCATTTTTTAGTAGTTTTTTTTTTTTTAATAAATCATTTTCTAAATAAAACAATTATGCTTTTTTCCTCAAACAAGCTGTGATAACGTCTCAATCGTTGAGAATGTGTATCATTTTAATTTCGATTTTAAAATTAAAACATCAATCAATATAAAAGCTAATAAGTAGTACATATATCCAATAATAAATATTTTTTTTTTTATAAATATAAAAAAAAAATACAACAAATAATCTTACAAATATTTTTAATTTACATAAATAAATAGCATGGCATTGTCCTTTTGCTCTGATTAAAATTGATTCAGCAGAAAGTTTCAAGCACTTTGTTCGTTGGTTTACATTTCCCTAAAATTTACAGAATATTCAAAAATTCTTAATAATAATTGTATTAAAGCTATGGCATCCGTAATGAGTAATAGTTTCGGGTTTGATTCTCGTCATCATTAACATAATCATCATTATCGACAGTGTAATCAACGCCATTGTCGCCCTTA